TTTAGTGGTAGCGTGATCGAGACCTGTCAGCAAGAAAATACATCTGATCTGAGCTCGCGCTGTGCTGTCTTTAGGCAGAGCTAATAAAGATCTGTGCAGCGTGCTTCAAACGAGTCACGCTCTTCCTCTTTTTTTGTGCGTTTAGGAATTCTCGTGCGCGAAAAAAATGGCAGTGCATAGGAGTTATGAAATTGTTATCACTCGCCGTTTACTGCTACATCTGGTCTAAAATTTAGTGCTTTCACCTTGTCACATTGTGAAACTGCATATTTTGTAAATTATGCTTGGCGGGCCACATTTAATATATTTTAATAGACGAGCTGCGGGCCGTTTGAAATTCATCCATGGGCCAAATTTGGACACCCCTGCCTACTATGGAAGTCAGTGAGGACCAACAACAGTTTGGTTCTTCAAAATATCTTCTTTTGTGTTCAACATAAGACAGAAACTTACACAAGGTTTGGAATGACATGAGGGTGAGCAAGTGATGACAATTTTCATTTTTGGAAATGCTACCAGTTGTTGGGAGATTGATCAAATATATTTTTACACTCTCCAACAACTGATCTTTGGATGTTTTGACAATTTTGAATGGAATATTTTTGACAAAACAATTACAAAAATAATCGAATGAAAGTAATAATATGGAATTCTAGTAAAAACAGAAAGCAATATAATCAGCAAAACATGTTAAAATAGTTGGAATACAGAAGATAAACACCTTCTAGAGTTTGAAATAATGTCGAACCTCAAATAAATGTTGAGGATCACATGCAGCAAACTCTTCCAACACATTACTTTGGAAGGAAGCTACATCATGTCAGGAAAGATAGTCACGCTAACAAGTTAATCAAATATTCAGAGCGAGGGCAAAGGCTTCAAATAAGACATATCATGCTTCTTTAACCAAGCTTTAAGAATCCGGTTCAACCAGACATCCAAAACAATTGTTTTTCTTGGAATAACCTTGGGGGAGGAAGTCAAAGTGTTTGAGAACTTCTGTAGAACACCACAAGAAAAAAAGAGGACATTATAAACCTCAAAAAGGACTGGAATTACAAGAATAAACACAGGGTTTCTGCAGGTTTTTACGATGGCAATTTCAAGACTTTAGGACCTTTTTAAGACCAAATAAAGATTTAAAGAATAAACTGAAGGGAACGCAATACATCAATACATTGTTTAAAGGTAAATGTCTACGGAGCAAACAAAGAGTTGTTTTAGAAACACTTCAACATTTGAAAGTGCAACTTCCAACTAGGGATGTGCGGGTCTAGTCAACTAGTCGACTAAACGGTACAGCTCCTACTAGTCGACACTGAAAACAATAGTCGATTACACGACAGAAAAAAAAAAACACAACATGATTTTATCATTCAAATTACCGTCATTTTAACATTGCATTTAAAACATTTTAAATAAGTTAAAATAAAACGTTTGAAAAATAATACATTATTTTTAAAAGTTTATCTGGGCGGAAACTACATTTTTACCTCAGACCTCACGCGCATTTTCTTCGTGTCAGTTGCGGCGAGTTCAAAAATGACCATACGAAAGACGAGAAGGTGTGGGATTATTTTGAATTAGAAGGAAACGGAAAAGTTGTGTGTAAACTGTGTAATGTCAAATTGTCTTACAATAACTCTACTGGAGCGATGCGTAATCATATTCAATACAGGCACGTAGGCGTTAGCTTAGAGGCTGGCCAAAGCCAGCAAATGTCAATCACGTCATTCACTACAACCTGCGATCCCGTCCGCGCCGTCTATTCCTTTAATGAAGACACACTTCGGTGGTGGTGCGGGATGTCCAGGCGCTTTCTGAAAATCTATCGGCTTGCTATTCGTTATCTCTGCGTGCCTGCGACTTCAGTTCCTGCCGAGCGCGTTTTTTCAAGTGCAGGAATTTTATTGTTAATCGCCTCAAGTCCCGTCTTTCACCAGACCACGCTGATAATGTCACTGAACAAATAACGCATGGTCTGAGTAAGTAAAATGGGCATTGTTGCATTCTGTTTTTAGACGATATAGCCTACACGAAGTACATTTTTAAAAGCCATTTTAATGCTATCTCTTGATAAACCTTCCTATTGTTTTTGACTTGTG